CACAAAGGGGTCACAACCCTCAGGTTGAGAACCAATGGCTACTGGCTGTGTCTGAGATTTTTCCTGTCCTTTGATTATTTAATTGGCAGAGAAAACCAACTTGACCAAGACCTCTAGGTGGTCATACTCTCCCAACCAAAAATAAAAAGATCCATAGCATTTTGAATTCTCAGATGGAAGATATGATAGAAATCCAAAAATAGATTACATTTTATGTGTATATATACACACATATTCTTTTCAAGCATGTATGACTCATTTACTAAAGTTGACCACACATGAAGCCACTAAGGCAGTCTCAAGCAATTTCGTAAAACTGGCAATTAAAACTGGCTACGAACTGTAGGCTGAATTTTCAAATTGTAATTAGAAGAAACAAGACAAAATTAATTCTGTAACTCCACTCTGGCTAGACTTTTCCCCTTTCTATATTTGGAACATTGCGTTTCCATATTTTCAAAAATGTTTATTATACATGTGTTTCTTTTTCTTAATGCTGAGGTGGGTTTACTTCATATCCTTTTACACCTTTGTATTTGCAAATAATAACCTGCCTGATTTCTGCTAGAGGCACATAGGTGCGCTAGCAGGAAAACAACGCTCATTGCACTAACTAGTGTTTGGTCTTTAGAAGGTTAAGATCCTTAGTGGTAAGATGTGTTTAATCTTATGGGTATCAACTAGGAGGAGGAGAAGGGATTTACTGGAAAGGCTGAGAAAGAAGAAAAACAGGGTGATGCAAATCTTAGCACTTGGGAGGCAGAGGCAGGTGGATCTCAGTTCGAGGCCAACCTGCTCTACAGAGTGAGTTCCAGGACAGCCAGGACTGTTATTCAGAAAAAAAACTTGTCTCAAAAATACACACACACAAAGAGAAAGAGAGAGAGAGAGAGAGAGAGAGAGAGAGAGAGAGAGAGAGAGAGAGAGAGAGAGAGAGAGAGATTAAATTTGTCAGACAACTGCGGAAATAATTACTATTTAATATATATTTGAGCATCTGATTTTGTGTGTATGTATGTGTTTTTTAACAATCTACTCTCACTGAACTTCTCCCTCTGTATGTAATAGTTAAGTATGCAGGCAAGGGGATCATTTATTTCAAGAATCTTTTAAAAATCTCCTTATTTATCTATTCCAGTACTGGGGATTTTTGTTTTGTTTTGTGTTTTTTGTTTGTTTGGTTGGTTGGTTGGTTGGTTGGTTGGTTGGTTGACTGGTTGATTGACTGGTTGGTTGGTTGGTTTGTTGGTTGGTTTGGTTTGTTTTTTTGAGACAAGGTTTCTCTGTGTAACCCTGGCTGTCCTGGAACTCACTCTGTAGATTAAGCTGGCCTCAAAAACAGAGATCTACCTGCCTCTGTCTCCTGAGTGTTAGGATTAAAGGTGTGAGAGCCCACAGAGGCTTGCTGGTGAGAACTTACTCAGGGTCAGAGAATCTGGGCTTGCTTTACCCAACAGGGCTGTATAAGGAGATGATTTGGTCACAGGCGTATTTACCAGGTGTTTGGGAGGGCTGATGGGTATTGACCCAGTCCCTCCCAAAGCTATCCTGTGTCTCTGTCTTTCTTCTCATCAGCCAGGTCTCTCTGTCTGATATTTCCTCATTCCTCTCTCCTCCACCTAAGAATCCTTCAAAAGATGGGAGCTGGACTCCCACATAAAGTCATGCACCACCCCTGCCCTGCAAGTACTGGGGATTTTTTTTTTAAGACAGGGTCTCATAGCCCAGGCTAGCAATAGAACTTACAGTGTAGCCGAAGACTATCTTGAACTCCTTCTTTACCCTTCCACCTCCACCGTACAAGTGTGTGCCACCGCTCCTGGCTGAGCCAACACCAGCCCCACCCATCCCTTTCTCAATAGTTTCTATTTCACCTCTGTTCTGTTCATGTACTCACTCATAACCTGGACTCTAAGGAACAGGGGTTTAAGCACATGAAGTTAACCTAGGTCCTTTAAAAGAAATAGACATGAGGCAAGGAAATCAGGAATAGAGCAGATCCGGAAAAGCATTAACAACAACAACAATAAAAGAATGGTTCTTCAGTCTGATCTTGAGAAGGCACAGCTTTAAATAAGATGGTCTGGGTTTGAACCTGTGTTCTGGCACCAACTAGCTGTGAATGGGTTACTTAGCACAGTAAATACCAGTCTCCTAGAATATTCACTGAGGATTATACTTGCTTAAAATGGGGGTGGGGTTCAATGATCTGACATGTGAAGCCCAAGAGACTGACAGATGACTCCTGCTGTTTCTCTTTCCTGCCTCTCTTTCTTCATCTTACCTTCTCCCTTATCTTTCCTGGCTAACCCTCCCACTCCCTTCCTCCTCTCCACTCTTCCTGTAGTTTTGTGGTACCCGCAAGCCGTCTGGGTTAACTCATGAAAATCACCTTCCCGGAGATGCTGGTCCATGAAGAGCTTCTCTGGTGACTTGTATCATCAGATGCCCTGATTATCCATTCTGTGCTTTGAAGCGTGTTTCAGAGGAAAGTGCAATGCAAGGTTGAAGCAGAAATCTTGTAAAACAAGTGAATAAAAACCCTGGGGTCAGGGAGCCAGGCATAGTGGTATACACCTGCAATCCCATACCTGAGAGGACGGAACTGGAAGCTTTAAGGTTCAAGGACAGCCTAAGCTACAAAGCAAGAGCCTGTATCAGAACAAGCAACAGCAGCAAAATTGAGAAGAGCTTTATCCACAAACATCTAATTTACGATGGAGCCAAAAACAACCCTTTAAACTTCTGATCCTACTGAAGGCTAGCATCGCATGCATGCCAGGCAAGCACTCTGCTGAGCTATATCACTAGGGCGTCTTCCCCCTGCCTTTGGCAAGGTCTCATGTAGCCCAAGCTGACCTCAAAAAAATCATGATATGCCTGAGTCTAGCCTTACACTCCTGATCTTCTTGCCTCCGCCTTCCAAACTAAGTGCCCTTTCACAACTTATTTCATGGTAAACTGTTGGAATGTTTTCCCAGACCTAATAAATGAAATCTCAGCCATCTCAGGTCAACAACTGCAGACAGTGAGGATTTCATCTCTATGAAAAAGCACCGTGACAAAAGGGACAAGGAGAGACGGAGGAAGGTGGGATGGAATCCTGCTTCTTTAGAAAAGAAAAAACAGGATATAAACTGCTGCTGGGTCAAAGGGCAACGTATGGAGGTGCCTGACTGTCCCCAAGACGTGGGGTGGTTGGTGTTGTGGCTGATGATGCTTCCTTTGCCCCTCAGATACAGTCTCATCTATTCTCACGGCTGGAGATGCTCCAGCTCCGAACCTCAACCACAGTTCACACTGCCTTCATATCCTACCTATCCTGCCCCTGCTTACCTGTCTCCTGCCTTCCTTTCACGAGGCAGCTAGAGCTCTGCCTGCTTCTCAACAGCACCATCTGATCGCTTTCATTCTTGTTCTCCATCCTGGGTCTCTCCGTGCAGTGTGCTGGGTGGTTTTGTATCAATTTGACACAGGCTAAAGTCATTGTGGCATGAATCTTAAATGGTCTTATTAATAAAATCAAACCTGAGGCTGGGTATTGGGGTGAATGCTGGAAGACTAGAGAAGCAGAACAAGCCACAGCTTCCTCACTTTGCCAGTTCCTCAGCTGATCCTGTTTCCTCAGACTGGAAGCCTCTGAGTCCTCATCCAGAATGAATCCCAGCTGAACTGCTTCTCAAAAGCCTGAAAGCTTAACCAGCTAAAAGCTTCTAGTTTCTGGTCTTCATGCCTTATATACCTTTCTGCTTTCTACCCTCACTTCCTGGGATTAAAGGCGTGAGTCACCATGCCTGGGTGTTTCCAGTATGGCTTCAAACTCACAGAGATCCAGATGGATCTCTGTCTCTGGAATGCTAGGATTAAAGGCTTGTGTTACCACTGCCTAACATCTATGTTTAATATTGTGGCTGTTCTGTTCTCTGACCCCAGATAAGTTTATTAGGGTGCACAATATTTTGGGGAACACAATACCACCACAAGTCATCTGAAAGGAGGGATCCTTAAATGAGAAAATGCCTCCATAAGAGTGGGCTGTAGGCAAGACCATAAGTCATTTTCTTAATTAGTGATTGATATGGGAGGGCTCAGACCATTGTGGATGATGCCATCTCTGGGCTGGAGTCCTGGGTTCTACAAGAAAGCAGGCAGAGCAAGCCATGGGGAGCAAGCCAGTAAGCAGCACCCCTCCATGGCCTCTGCATCAGCTTCTTCCTCCAGGATCCTGTCAGTTTTAAGTTCCTGTCCTGACTTCCTTCAATGATGAACAGTACTGTGGAAGTTTTAGAAGCCAAATAAACCCTTTCCTCCCCAGCTTGCTTTTTGGTTGTGATGTTTCATCTCAGCAAAAGAAATCCTAAGACAAGAAGTGAGGGAGACATTTAGGAAAGGCAACACCGACCCTTGACTCAGAATGCTTAAGATCTTGGTGCTGACCATAGAGAAGCAGGTGTTGGTAAATACCACTAAAAGGCAGCAACTTGTGGGAAAGAAATGAAGATTCATTCCTTCTAGAGTAAACGGAGTGCACCGTGCGCTGAACATGCAGAAATGGCTTTCTGAATGAACCCCAAGACGCATACTCCGTGTGTGGGGAAGCACATTTGCGACAGGTCATGGCAGGGACTTCAGAGTCTCGCTACCATCGCCTGAAGCTCGGCTCTACCGATACCTAGCTGGTGACCTGGGCTTAGCCTCTATATGCTTCGGTCTCTTCCTTAGTGAAATGCAGATGAGATGCCCACCTTATCTGTCTCTGATGAGTATAAAACCCACTAAGACAGGTGAAGCGTTTGGCATATGGTAACTGCTATTAATAGCAAGGGTGGCTGAGGATTGTTCCCTCGAGTGAGTGTACGAGTGAGGGGAGAAGGCCCTGTCTGGTCATTCATTAATTCTGTCTGGGAAGAGCGAGCAGTGTGAAGACCCTGCCTGAGAAGGCTTGCACAAGGCTTTGCCATTGGCCTGCCAGGCAGCAGCCCTGGCGTGCAGACGAGGCGGGGCTGCGGGGCTGCGCGGGGCTGTAAACAGGGGCGGGCTGTGTCGCTGCGGTGTGGCGGCTCCCACCGCTGCGTGAGACGGTGTCCCCGGGTGTCACCGGGGCGCACACCGAGAGGAACCTGCTTCGATGTGCGTGTCATGGCATAAAAATAGCTGCGATCCACCTGCGCGCCGGGGCGGCGGCGCAGCGGCGGAGGGGGACCGCGCAGGAGCCATGGGCGCCGGACTGCGGAAGCCCGCAGGCCACCTCGGCATCTGAGACCCTCGCAACCAAGAGGTAGAGAGACCTGGGGGCGAGGGGACGGGGACCGGGGCGGGACAGGGACATAGGGGCACTGCCACGCGCCTCGCTTCCCCTCAGCGCCTGGCTGGCTGGGTAGTCACCGGGGCTAAGGCGACAGCCACGAACCTGTTACTACCGCGACAGCAGACGGAGGGAGGGGGGCAGGGGCCAGAGCCTCTGGCGGCGGGTTAATGGGATTGGAGAAGGCCCAGGGGTGTATTCCGGACTGAGCCGGGCTCCTCCACACCAGGAGGACCAGTCCCGAGGACCGCTGCTCGCTGCTTCCAGCTCCTTACCTTTCATCATCACTAAGGCAGCAGAATCTATTCTGAGGAAGGTTGTTGGAGGGGAAGGATGGGTCTTTGAGCCCCGGGAGGAGAGGTAGGTGTTAGGTGGGGTGGTGGTGGGGGGGGTGGGGGGTGGTGGTGGTGGTGGTGGTGGTGGTGGTGGTGGTGGTGGTGGTGATGTCGACTGTCGTGCTAGATTTCTGTGCTTCTTCTAACCCAGCCTTTGAAAACCTATCTGTCCCTGAACTCCTGAATATGGACTCATCCTTTATAAGTACACTCTCACTGCCCTTGTTTGTGGTGTCTTCTGAGAGAGTGGTGTCTCCTGACCCTGGGAGAAGAGAGAGCTAGGCCTGGCTGGGAGTGTGGGATGGGATCCCTGTATGGCCATGGGCCAAGATGGCTTCTAATCGCTGGACGGTCAGTTGAGGTCCCTAAGACAGACGGCCCCAAAGAGAATGGGAGGGAATTCTGCAGCTTAGGCCACCCTTGCCAAAAAAAAACAAACAAAAAAACCACGCAGGACCATTCCTAGAACTGAAGACAAGGGGTCTCCCATAGTTGTCTGTGGGCCCCAGTGTCCTAGGGCAAGCCTCAAAGGCAAGCTGTTTCAGCTGTGAGGCTCAAAGCAGGAGCCCCACTTTCCCAAGGGCCTGCTCTCTACAGGTATGTTGAGACACATACTTTGCTAGGCCCCTTGGGGCTGACTGATCCTGCTCCACGGACTGTGCAGGATCGGTTGATGTCAACAGCAACAAAGGTGATAATTCTGAACCTCTCAGCTGCCCCTGGGCCTGGGGGATCTCTCATCTCCCCCTCCCCATCTTCTCCCCTTGCTTCCGCTTCTGCCCTGCCCCCACCAGCAGACACAGACACAAAGCTCCAACCCTGCTTTGACTCAGACTTCTCTCCTGAGGGATGAGGTTTAGTCAAAGGGGGGGGGGGGGGGGGGGGGGGGAATTCGCTCCTCCCACTCACAGGCTTGTGGGTATAGATTGAAGCCTTTCTTCCACCAGCTCTTACATTCAGCAAGTCTTTTCCCAAACTCACTTTTCCTCTTCTTATCATTCCCCACTCTCACCCTCCCAATAGCCTTCCGGTGGACAAGCGTATCTTGGCCACACGCGGGGCAGGCATGGGTTAAGGCACGTCATCTCTCTGGCACCCAGGAGGCATGTCTGGCATATGTCATGGTCCCAGCTGCTGTTATCTTCTTGATAATTCTCTCTGGATGGCTCTACAGCCGCTTCCATCCCCATCCCAGCTCCCTAGACACTCTGCCTATAACCCCAGCCAGACGAGACCCAGATCTGGGCTGGCAAGTATCCTGGCAGTGTGTGGAAGTACCAGAGTGTCCAATGTATATGTGAGTGTTTCTGCGTTGGTTGGCAGTGGGGGCAGGGCGACGGAGGAGAAACAGCAGCTGGGCAAGTCCTTCTTCTCGTAAACAAGGACATGTGACTCCCACCTCCTTGGGTGGCAGAACCAGAGCTTAGTGGAGGGACCCACAGGAGCTAGAGAAAGGAGGCATTTGAGCTCCTAGGCTAGCCTTGCCTTCTATTGCTTAAGGGCCTGCTACTCCCCAGAACCCAACCCTGTGAGGAGAAAAGGAAACAGCTTTTCTGGATTCACTCAAGTATGCCTGACACCCCTTTACTTCCAGCAACGGCTACCTGGTGACTGAGCCCATCATCACTCAAGCCACAGTTCCCGACACCTTGAAGATGTGCCCTGGTAACTGGCTCTGGGCCTCCATGACTTTTATGGCCCGCTTCTCCCGCAGCAGCTCAAGGTCCCCCGTTCGCACTCGAGGGAGCCTGGAGGAGATGCACACGGTGCACCATCCTTTCCTCAACGTCTTTGAGTTGGAGAGGCTCCTCTACACAGGCAAGACAGCCTGTAACCATGCCGATGAGGTCTGGCCAGGCCTCTACCTCGGAGACCAGTATGTAATGGGTGGCCGGGACCCCATGCCTGAGTGTGTGTGCGTGTGTGTACAAGGAGAAAGGTGGCAGGCAGACACTGACTCACCTTGCTGGTTCCAAGCTGAAGAGTGAAGGGAGCAGATACATGAACAAAGAGTAGAAGCTGGAGGGCTTAAGAGATTTGGGGGGAAATTATTAAAATACTCGACTCTGGGCAGAGAAACTCTGTTTAGGAATTTGTGGTACTCATTTGGGGAAGATCTCATATGAACTGTCGGCACTATAGGCTAGGCACATTGTTCTGACCTTCCAGCCAAAGGTAGTCACTAAGATAGAAAGAGTAGGCAGAAGGCTGAACGGGAGACCAAGTGAAGCCACCACAGTCAAGGGTCATGAGGAGAAAACCATCAAAGGGAGCGCATTCCCTAATATGTGAGATTTTTTTTTTTTTTTTTTGCTTTCTTAATCCTCATAGCATCTTCGGGAGGTGGGGGGGGGGTCACTCTCCCTGGGTTACAGATGAGGAAAGGGGAAGTTGTCACTGCACCAGGGTCACACAGGCTACAAGCAGGAGTGCCAGCAGTTTGGGGATTGGGTTCAGTGGCCTTTCCAGGTAGGGAGTTTCCACTAGATGGCTTGTCTATGCTAGCATCTGACCATCTTGCCTGAGGGGTTTCTACCACTAAGCTGCTAGGGTATGGGGCAGATGAATGTCTGAAGGTGACTATAGATCAGAATAAACAAGAGCCCTAGAGGAATGAGCCAACAGAGGAGGTTTCCAGGCATCAAGGAAAACATGAAGCAGGAGAGGGTTGGGGAATGACTGTCAGACCCATGTAACCTAAAGATTATCAGGGATTTATTTACTCATGCATGCATTTATGTATTCATTTATTTGTGTAGTTTATGTATATGGATGTTTTTGTCTGCATGTGTGTCTGTCTGCACACCAGAAGAGGGCATTGGACCCCATGGAACTGCATGTTATAGACAGTTGTGAGCTGCCGTGTGGGAGCTGGGAATTGAGCTCAGGACCTCTGGAAGAGCAGCCAGTGCTCTTAACCGCTGTGCCATCTCTCCAGCCCCTGCATTCACTTATTGGTTCTGGGAACCAAATCCAGAGTACTGCACAAGCTAAGCACACACCCTACCATGAAGTTACATCCATAGCCCTAGCAAAGACTTGAACATAGGAGGGGGTCCAGCAATTCTCCTGATGCACACATCTGTCCACAGTTCCCAGGCTCTGTCCACTGAGGACTTCTCTCTGGCTGGACACCCCGATGTCAGGAGAATGATTCTTGAAGCGCTCTAACCTCTCCCCAGCTAGAGTTCTCTCTTAATGAGCACTTCCCTCACATGAAATCAACATCGGTGTTCCAGATCTTGAATCCCTTGGTCTTCATTCCATCCTTCAGAGCCCTACGAGGAAAATTCCATTTCCTGAGAGTACTCCCAATATTTGATTACAGTCATCTTGACCCCATCCCCTTCGATTCTCTTCCCTAGCCCAATCGTTTCCTCTCAAACACTGCTCACAGGATGAGACCCCCACATCTGCCCTCTTCCACTGTTCTAGGGCGTTAGTTAAGCACCGTGGAGGTTGCAGCCAACAACAGCCTCTAGGCCGAAGCTTCCTGGCATCCTGGATTCCCATTTCCCTTTGTAACTTCTATTTAACACAGGGACATGGCCAACAACCGCCGTGAGCTTCGTCGCCTGGGCATCACCCATGTCCTCAATGCCTCACACAGCCGGTGGAGGGGCACCCCTGAGGCCTACGAGGGACTGGGCATCCGCTACCTGGGGGTCGAGGCCCATGACTCGCCAGCCTTTGACATGAGCATCCACTTTCAGACCGCGGCGGACTTCATCCATCGGGCACTGAGCCAGCCAGGAGGTAGGAGAGAAAGCAGAAAGGGGGGGAAGGGCAATGGGTGTGGCATTCAGAAGCCCCAGGGTCCAAGGATGGAGCAAGAATTTAGCAATAAGCAAACGGCTTAAGACCTGGCGCTAAGGAAAGAAAAATGTTCTCTCAATCCTCTTTTTCCAGGTAGTATTTTGAAAGGTAATGAGGGCATCATTTAAAGTGGAAAGCTACTCCTAGATGCTGAGGATATGAGTGTTGTAACTTCTATGCTTTTTTTTAAACCTATTTCCATACTTTCCTGGCATTAAAAAAAATTTAAACATGGTTTTAAAATGCTTTAGTTACCAGGAAAAAAAAAAATACAGTTGGCCCTCTGTATAACTGAGTTCTGCATCATTGGATTCAACCATGCACAGATTGAAAATATTTGGGTGTAGAAGTACATACAGAATGTGTTTAGACTTCCTTTTATTATTCCATGGACAATATAGCATAGCATGTATTTACAGAGAATTTACATTGTATCATAGACATAAATAATCCAGGGATGATTGAAAGTATACAAGAGGGTATGGGGGGGGGGGGGGGCGGTATGTAAGTGCTGTATCATTTTATATGTGGGAACTGAGCATCCATGGGTGTTGGTAATGGGGAGGTTTTCCAGGAATCAACCCACTCTGACTATCAAGAAACAACCACATACATAGATAAAAATGTTGTCAGTGGCTGAGAGAAACTGTAAGATAGAAAGGTGAGGAAGTAAGGTGTGATGCCAGGTGCCCATCGTCCCAACGACTCCAGAGGCTAAGACAGGAGCCCTGTCTGAACGCCAGCTTGAGCTTAGCCTGGGCGACATAGCGAGACTCAGTCTCAAATACCAAAAATTCAAGCAACCGAAGAGTTAGGGAGGAACCAGGCGGATGGCTCAGGTGCTAAAGAACTTGTCGTGCAAAGGCACTGTCTCCTAACACTGGGGAGGCCAAGTTTAGGAGGCTCCCGGGGCCTGCTGGGCAGCCTGTCTAGCCTGTTCTGCAGACTCCAGGTTCAGCAAGAGACCCTGTGTCAAAAAAAAAAAAGATGGCACCCAACATTGACTTCTGGCCTCCCCAAGCACACTTGCATCTACACACACACACACACACACACACACACACACACACACACACACACACGAGGGAGACCAGCTCCCTCTTATTCCCCCAGGGTACTCTTGAGCAGGGAGAAGGAGGAATATTTAGATAGAAAGAGATACCTAGACGTCAAGAGGAAAGACAGAAAAGACAGGATAGATAGCCTCGGGAGGGCCTGGTTCCAAACCCACCAGCCCAGAACTTCACTCCAAAGGGCTCTTTATGACAATGTCAAGGGGAGGAGCAAAGACCTCCCCGTTGCGAGGTACAGCCAAAGGGTAGACCCTTCCAAGCACCTGGTACTCAGGCCCGTGGCCCAATCACCCTCTTTATGTAGACCTGCTGAGTAAAGCCACTAGGAAATCCAAATGGGCTCCAACACACACACACACACACACACACACACACACACACACACACACACACACACACATACACATACATCCATCATACACATGTACACAAAAGAAGGGTTGGGGGAGACCTAACACAGGCTAGACTCAACATAGAAGGATTCCTGTGGATGCATTCGGCCAATGTAGGCGGAGTCCCTGCTCTGTTCAAGGCTCCGGTTTACAACAGGAATGAGTGCCACCCCTGAGCTCTGCTCAGGTTCCTGAACACCAAGTTTCAGAATTCCTTCTCCATTCTATTCTGCCCAGGCCTCACCCCTTTGCCAGGGACCTTCATTATTTGTTTGAAGTGCTGGGGATCGAACCCGGGGCCTTGCTCATGCTAAGCACACACTCCGCTGCTGAGTGTGTATGTGTGTGTGTGGTGTGCACACATGTGTGTCCCGGTGGATCTGTGGAAGTCAGGGGACAACGATGTGGAGTCAGGTCTCTGATCTTTCCTTGGGTTCTGGGGCCGGACACTCAAGTCGTTGGGCTTGTGTGGAAAATGCCATCCCCACTGAGCCATCTCACCAGCCCAGGATCTGCATGCTAAACACCACTCATCCTCGCCCATCCCTGCCTCCGTGTGCCTCGGTTTACCTTCTTCCGTTCACTCGGCCCGTGCTGACCTCTTCCCAATCCTCCTCCAGGCCATCACTCGGCAGTGTCTCAGATGTCGCTCTGTCTGCCTCTTCACAGGGAAGATCCTGGTACACTGTGCCGTGGGAGTGAGCAGATCGGCCACCCTGGTGCTGGCCTACCTCATGCTTTATCATCACTTCACCCTCGTGGAGGCCATCAAGAAAGTCAAGGATCACCGGGGCATCATCCCCAACCGGGGCTTCTTGAGGCAGCTCCTAGCCCTGGACCGGAGGCTGCGGCAGGGTCTGGAGGCATGAGAGCAGGGAAAGCGAGCGGGCCAGGTTCCTGGGTAGTTTCCTGGCTCCCAGGTGGGAAGAGGAGACCCAGGTGGCAGGTAGTAGAAAGGCCAGACAACCCATCCTCCCCCAATGGCAGGAGAGGGAAGGGCCCCTGAGGCCACTGTGACTCCATGGAAGGGGATGGAGAGCCAAGTCGGGCAGTGTGGTAGGTGGGGGCTGCTGACCCGGGAAGGAAGCAGCTGGGCTGTAGGTTCTGTGATTAGGACAGCACCAGATTCCAGCAGGGTGTGCCCAGTGACTCAGAATCCCTTCCCCTCATTGTGTTCAAGTGTTCCCCTCTCTCACTTTCCAAACAAAAGGACCGGCCGCTGAGCAGTACCTGAACAGTGCTGGGAGGGGGGTGTGTGTCTCAAGGATTCAGGAGCGTGGATGTGAGGGAAGGTGTACAGGTTGCAGGAAACAGTGGAGAAAAAGTCGGTGATGGAGTGGTGTGAAAGCCACAAAGCCAGAGGGAGAAACCTACAGGTGTGCAACTCCAGGAAGAAGAGGTGTGGGAAGACTGATAGATAGGACACCCCAGAGGAGCTGCTCAAGGTCCAAGGAGGGAGTCTTTAGGTGGTCATATTCTCACTGAAAACCATGTGTCTGGAGTAACAATAAAGAGTTGAAAAAGAGGAGAGTGTCTTTGCATCGTTAACAGTTTGACCCCTCTCTTCTGGAAACCTAAGTCTCCCTTACCCGCTCACTAACCCTCTACCAATCCTTACATAGCCCTATGAAATCTTGAGCTGTTATTCCTAACTTGTCCACAAGGAGGCAGCAGAGGACCAAAAACTTGAGGTCTGTAGCCACTTCAGGATGCTGGCAGCTGGCTTGTATCTTCAAGGATAGGTCCCTCTGTCCCCTAGGGCTGACGAAGACAACAGAATATTAATCTTTTGTTTTGTTTTGTTTTTCAAGACAGGGTTTCTCTGTGTAGTTTTGGTGCCTGTCCTGGATCTCACTTTGTAGTCCAGGCTGGCCTTGAACTCACAGAGATCCACCTGGCTCTGCCTCCCAAGTGCTGGGATTAAAGGTGTGCACTGCCGCCGCCGCCGCCACCACCACCACCACCACCACCCCTAGAATATTAATCTTAAATCAAGATCAGCCTTAAGTGCCCTACTTCAGGTGCCAAAGTATTAAGGGACAGTTGTTTTCTAAGTCTTCCAGGGTTTTCTCAGAGGAATATAACCTTAGTTAAGTTTCATTAAAAAAAAAAAAAAAACTTAGCCAGGAAGAATGGCATGTTGTCTCAACTGCCAGACACCCACCACAACTCTTGCCAAAAAAAAAAAAAAAAAAGTGTGTGCTCATTATCTATTAGAATGGGAAGAGAGGATAGACAGAAGTACAAGGGAAAATAATGAACCAGCAAGATAGCTCAGCAACCAGTAAGGGCTGTTGCCAGCAAGCCTGATGATCTGAGTTTGATCCTGGAACTCACATAATAGCAGAGGGAAAAAAAAACTGAGTCCTGCAAGGCGTCCTCTGCCTTTCATGTGAATGCTGTAACACACACACACACACACACACACACACACACACACACACACACAGTCACACACAAATAAATATACTTCCTAAAGATTCTCAAGTCACTTATGTATGAAGTGTATATCCCACTACAGAGCATAGCATCCTAAAGTTGGAAGGTACCTCCACCGACTGAGTTTCTCTAGTCTCTAAGAGGCACAAATGTCTCACCTTCCTATGCTTGAGCATCTCTGTTGACCGGAAACCACGTCATCCTCACTCCACCTCAGCATCTCTAAGTCCCATTTACTGGCGCTAGTTCTGGCTGCCTCTGTGGGGTGGCTGGTCATTTAATAGGTGGGAGCTAAGCTTGCCATCTAGGGGGCCGTGGGATCTGTCACCATCTCTTGCTCACACTTACTCCACCACCTCTTGAGACGAAGAGGGAGTTCTCCGGTGTGAGCCTAGCTCACGTGGTTCTCTTCTGACCTGGTACTTCCACACCAAGAGCTGTTTGTTCGAGAACATCTGCATTCGTCATCTTTCCACTTACCCCGCCGGCCTTACCCATCCTGGCATCTCTCCCTACTTGTAGGAAGCAGAATTCTCATCTCAGAATTTACAGACCCTGAACCTCCAGGGAAACCTGGGAGATGGGGAGGAAAGCGGGTTCATCAGCTGGGAACTCAAAATGTGGTCTTCTCTGAGGACACATTTTCCAAAGGGACAGAGAAGCCTTCATAAGCAGTGCTGTTTCTAATCAAAATGGGTCGGTTCCCTATTAGAGCCAGGAGCCAAAGCCAACTTCGGTGGTGCACGTGTGTAATTCCAGCACTCTGGACATGGAGACCGGGCATTGAGAGTCCCAGGCCAGCCTCGTTACACAGAACTTGTCACAGTCAATAAAGAAAACCATGGCCAGGCAGTGGTGGCACATGCCTTTAATCCCAGTACTCGGGAGGTAGAGGCAGGTGGATCTCTGTGAGTTCAAGGCCAGCCTGGGCTACAGAGCGAGTTCCAGGACAGGCTCCAAAGCTACACAGAGAAACCCTGTAAAAAAAAGAAAAAAAAAAAAAGAAAGAAAAAAAAGAAAAGAAAACCATGTATCAAACTAATTAAATATAAGCCAAGTGGTAGTGGCACACTCCTTTAATCCCAGCACTCAGGAGGCAGAGGCAGGTGGATCTCTGTGAGTTTGAGGCCAGCCTGGTCTACAGAGTCAGTTTTAAGATGGTCAGGGCTGTTACACAGAGAAACTCTGTCTTAAAAAAGAACAACAGGAGGCCAGAGAGATTGCCCAGTGGTTAAGGGCATTGCCTGCTCTTCCAGAGTCTGGGAGTTCAATTCCCAGCAGCCACATGGTGGCTCACAACCATCCATAATGAGATCTGGTGCCCTCTGGTGGTACACAGGCAGAACAGTCTAGACATGATTAAATAAATCTTCAAAAATGAAAAAGAGCAGCCAAAATAAATTTTAATTAAAAAAATAAATATAATTAAAAGTAACTCAGGGGTGGGAATATAGCTAATGGCAGAATACTTGCCTACATTTTTTTGCAGAAGGTCCTGTATTCAAGCCCCAACACCACAGATGATGATGATGATGATGATGATGATGATGATGACTAAAAAAAATAGCTCATAGAAGGACTCACTGCAACTAGGATCCCAGCAGTATAGCATGCAGTGGAATGGTCATCTAAAATGTGCTTCACTAGGAACATGCCCCACTGGCCACCACCATATTTGTCCAGTCCATGATGAATAACTTGAGACGTTGGCTCTAATTTCTAGTAGAAAAGCATGGCTTCTGGAGTCTATATGCGTGAGGAACAGGCTTCAAGATTATCCCCCAGGATAGATTATATATTGTCATTAGTTAATGTCCTGGCTTTATTTCTCTGGCTGTGATGAAATGTCTTGACAAACGACAACTTAGGGAAGAGGCGGGGGGCTTATTTGGCTCACCATTTGAGCTCACAGCCCATGATTTCCTGGTAGCCAAGACAGGAACTTAAAGCATCATGTCCGCAGTCAAGAGTACAGAGAGAAGAAACACATGGATCCTTGGTTGTTTGCTCTAGTACTCAGCCCAAGCTTTCTCTAGTCTTCCACGGTTCAGAGCCCAGCATAGGGAATAGCGTCTCTCATAATGGGCTGGGTCTCCCTATCAATTAGAAGGCAATCACCTCCCACCCCTTGATATGGCCACAAGCCAATCTGGTCTAAAGAATTCCTCAGTAAGACTCTCTTCCAAGCTGAGTCTAAGTATGTCAAATGGACAGTTAAAACTAACCAATATGGCGCTGGAAAGATGGCTCAGCCGCTCAGCGTGTACATTGTTCTTACACATGACTTGAGTTTGATCTCCAGCACCCACAACAGTAATTGACAACTGTGTGTAACTCTAGCTCCAAGGGATCCGACATCACTCCAACCTCTTCCAGCATGTGAACAGACAGACACACACATACCCATAAATAAATACTTTTAAAGACTAACCAGCATAGTTATTAAAGCCACATGATGGCTGGGCCGAAGCCTAAGTCTGTCTTCACAGATACTAACCCTTGTGAACTAACCCTTGTTGAGTAACAGGGAAGTCAAAGTTAACTAGTCTGCCTAAGGTCGTGCAAACAGAAAACGGCAGAGCTGTCATTTGAACCTGGGTTCTCTGATTCTAGGGTCTGTGTGTTTAACAACCATACTGCTATGCTTGGCCTTCAGTCCCCAGCCCATCCTAGGCCTCTCCCCATGCTGGTCTGTGTGTGTGTGTGTGTGTGTGTGTGTGTGTGTGTGTGTGTGTGTGTGTGTGTGTGTGTGTTCAGGTGTAGGAAGAGGAATTGCTAGTAAACAACTGCCCAGTGTTTAAGAACCAGCAGCCCACACTTACTGACTTGGCTGGACAGCCGAGGCAGCTGTTAGCTGAGGACCTCCCTGGCTTTTTTAAAGATTCCATCTCTCTAAAAAGGACCGATCTGGCTCACAGGGAACAAGAGGGGCCCACAGCCTTATCATCACAGAGAGTCCCATCATCCAAGCCAGGTATGTGACTCTGCCAAGCCAGGTGATCTGGCTCCAACCTGTGAAAACAGGTCAATATCCAGCTTCCTCCATCCTCTCCTTGGGCAGTTGACCATTTGACCCTCAGAATAATTGTGTTAGATACAGCAGGCTGTGCCTCCAACTGACTGAGCCACAACCCTCTGGAACCCTCTGGAACTGGTTCCAGTCTGTCTAGTCATTGTGCTCCGTCTCTTGTCTCCAGCCTCCTCCTCTGCAGTGTTGACTCAAGCCCTTGAAGCAGGCCTAAGAGACCTAGCTGCCTCTGGGGAAGGGGAGGAATGCTTGCCCAATTCTTCACCCCTGTAACTAATCCCAGCTGGGAGGTACCACAAGCAGTACAGCTCAGAGCAAGCTGCTGCTTGGGAGCCCAAGGAGGCAGGCTCATCTGGAACAAGACGGGTAGCTCCCTTAGAATTATGCTGGTTCCCAGAGGGCTCCACATCGCTGCACCCAGGGGCCCCTGCCAGAAACAGATCCAGGGAGATCTGTCAGACATGTGACTCACCTAGCTGTAAAATAATCCATGTGTGTTTGTTAATCCATCAAGATGGTGATACCTTTAGAGCATCGATAGGAAACTAATATAAGCCTTTGGACTCACCATGAAGACCTTTCCCGATGTATAGCCCTCACTGAAAATGACAACACTGGTCCATATGCACAATGGAAATTTTTTTCAGCCATAAAAGAAAATGAAGTCGTAACATTTGTTGGAAAATGAATAGAGCTAGAGACCGATGAGCTAACTGAAATAAGCCAGACTCAGAAAGACAAATGCTGTATGTTTTCCTCGTGTGCACAATCTAGATTAAAAAAAAAAAAATGTGTGTGTGTGTGTGTGTATGCCTCTGTGTGTTAGTCTTAGACCCTATGAGGGAATTTATCTCAGCTGTTTAGCTAAAGAGTCATGATGATGCCAAACTGCCTTCTAAACAGTTGTATTTATACCCATAGACAAATACTACACCTAGTCTTCAGCCTTTGCCAAAGTTCATTCCCTTTGCAATGAACTGCGGTAAATACAGAGACTTGTGACTACTCAAGGTACTGAGAATACATGACAGTTCAGAGGTCAGCCCTAAACAGGGCAC